CATTTGGGGAATCCGAGCGAACTTACCCACAGCACCAAGGATGGCACTTTTTGTTACCTGGAGGTGAACGCCCCTGCACGTCCATGACGCGCGTGTTCTTGTTGACAGTGTAGAGAGCACCCAGCTGCTGGACCGTGTTCTTGACGACATCCTGGACGCGAGTGACAAAGTTGGACAAGTCTTGGAGGAGAGGGAGCAACCGGCCAATCTTGAGCTGGACATCGCCTTCCTCGAGCTTGGTGTGCTCGAACGTCTCCCCGTACATGAGCAGGACGTTGTAGAACTTTGTTTCGGCCTCGTGCTTGAGCTCGTTCAGCTCGCTGCAGACGGCGCCAAACACGGCAAGCACCTTGTTGAACACCTTGTTGTCTGTCTGGACGAGGTCGAGCACAGTGGCCGCCTCGAACGGCGCCGTCGACAGCGCGATCGGGTCGAGCTCGGGGTCCCAAGAGTCGCTCAGCGAGTCCACCTGCAACAGGTACAACAGAAGACCAAGACAAGATGTGTGTGTCGTGAGTATTGTTGCACAAGCGAATGAGTGAAAGGTCAGTGAAAGCAAAGCAACTGGGAAACAGAAAAAAAAAAAAAAAAAAAAAAAAAAAAAGTCACGAGTAAAAAAAAAATAATAAAAAAATGATACAAATCATATTGAATAGGAGAGGTTGGGAGGGAGGGAAGTTGGGGGAGGGGGTGGAGGCCAGGCTGAAGCGACGACTACAGCACAACGAGAACGAACGGCGGCCGAGGACGGAGGAGGGAGAAGCAAGGGGGGGAAACGCAGGACCAGTGAGCCGGATGGATCAATGCTGACGAGAGAGCCGCTCTTCTGCTCTCACTCGGAACGGGTCCCCTCCACACGACATCCACCTCAACTTTGCACATTCATTCGCAAGAGCGGGACTTTGGAGCGAACGAAGGGGAACGATCGCAGTAGCGCGTGTCGAAATGTTGATAAAAATCCATTCAAAAAAAAAAAAAGAAAAGCTGCTGCAATTTGGTTGAGAACAAAAAACAACGACCCTTTCCCTCACGCTCGGCTCTGGACGCACACGCTGAGAGACAAGAGAGGGAGAGAGAGAGAGAGAGAGAGAGAGAGAGTAACAGCAGCCGATCGGATGAGAGCGGGGAGGTGGGGCAAGGGAGGGAAGGGGGGGGGAAGAAGAAGAGGGCAAAGAACAAGCTCCTGACCTGAATCGCTTCCTCAATGTCCTGCAGCTGGTTGGCATAGTCGCCCAGGAAGCGGTGGAAGCCCTCCAGCTGACCCTCGCTCAGGATGGCAGTCGAGCCGTCTTCAAACGCATCCGTAAACCACCCAGAGTTGCTCGCATTGCCACCCGCGTTCGGCGAGGAAAAGTCGCCGTCGTCCGCCAGCAGCAATGACATTGTAAAGAAAAGGGGGAAAAAAGAAATAAGACTGAGACTGAGACTGAGAACTGAGACTGAGACTGAGACTGAAACAGCTTTGGGATCTTGGAAACAATCAGGCAAACTATGATCGTGCCAACCAGTCGCTGTTTCGCCTGTTTCCCCTCCCCTCCCCGGCTTGAAACCAACCACAACAGCTTTTCTTGTTGATTTTTTTCGTCCATTGAAAAGGACGCTTGCTGCCCGACAGAATGGATTGGTACTCCTGATCGGTGGACCATTTAAAAGCAAAACGATAGCCACGAATTTCAGCGTTCTGACAATTGGTAAACGCGCAACACCCAAGCACATCAATAAAAGACTCATCACTCGCTTGAGTGAATCCAATCTTTCCGCAATTCCGCAACTTCCATGTTCAAAACCTGAAATGCAAATCAAAGTCACCTCGATCAGTCGCACGGCCAAAACTCACGCGTTAGGACGTGACCAAAAAAACGGAGCACACACGTACCGGGGCCATAAATTCAATCAGGCTCTCGAGCGGAAACTCGACGATCGCGCGGGTTCCCCAGGAGACAAAGTAATCTGGCTCAGCGCCAGGCTCTATTGGTACCGTCGACTTTTCGCGCTGGAGATAGTTTTGGCGAACAAACTCGGTTTGGATGACCTTCTCCACATCACCCAGCTGGGGATGAATCTGCGACGCCAGCCGAAAACCCAATGGTGGTGAGCGAAAAACAAAAACCTCAACCAAATACACATGAATCAAAAACGTATCATCCCAGGTCGCGGTCCAAAAATTCCTACCTTTCCTTTGATGACTCCGACGTTTTTAAGGGAAATCCACAGGCCAGATTCCTTGTATGGCTCGTTTCGGATGTAGATCAACGACAGGACCAGCATCAGCAGTCCGCGCTTCGCTTGTTGTTCCGTGTCCCAGCTCACGAGGTTGATGTCCTGTCCCTGACGAATGGAATTCCATAGGAAGAGCTTTTTGGCGGCCGCTTGACGCTTTCTGTAGTGCCACACCAAAAAGAAAAAAAAAAGGAAACAAAAGTGAGTGATGCTTGACAATAATTTTGCCACATCAAAAGTAACTTGAATGGAAAAAAATAGAAACAGAAGAGTGGTACCTGGCTTGATCGCCAGCAGCAGTTGCTCCTGGGAGTGCCTGTGAAGACTGCGATGCTTGAGTTGCGGAGGGCTTGGACTGCGACGTGGCCGTGGAGGCATCATCCGCTGGCTGGACGGCGAGTGCGGCCCGCGGCATGGCCTTGAGTCTGGCGTCCAAATCGACAAGCTCGAAACCGAAAATGTAAAGGAGCGTCTGCTTGGCAATCTCCATCGCCTTATCACTGTCGGCCTTTGCACAGCCCGCAAGCAGCGTCTTGTTAATGTCTGCACGAACAATGGGATACTGCTTCCGAGCCGCAAAGACGCAATAACGGACAATGTCTGTTGCCTACCAGAGTCACACACACACACACACACACACACACACACACACACACACACACACACACACACACACACACACACACACACACACACACACACACACACACACACACACACACACACACACACACACACACACACACACACACACACACACACACACACACACACACACACACACACACACACACACACAGACACAGCCACAGACACACATAGATGAACAAAAGCCAAGCAGAAGGCCCTGAAGAAGCGTACCTTGCGCCTCAGGTCGTCCTTGCTGAGAGCGTGCCGTGCCTTGTCATTCCCATCAGCTTCCTCTTCGTTGTCGTGGTCGGCAGCTTCCTCCGGCTCGCGCTGGGACGCAGCAGCAGCGCGCTGGGACGCGCCTCGATGGCGGCTGCGAGGGGCCTCTTCCTCGTCGCTCTCGTCGTCGCTGTGCCGCGCGTTGCGGCGAGATGCACTGCTTCTGTCACGCACAATAGGGCATTCGCAGTCGTTGCAGTCAGCCGTCATTGCAGTCGTGCAAGTCAGTCATCCTCAGTTCCAGTGGGATTTTGGCCTTTTTTTTTCCCGCGCAAACACAAAATCTCCCGCGCAAACTGGTCCAACTTCCACAGCGACCGCTACGCTTTGCTGGCTCGCTCGCTTTGCAATCACTCAGGTGGAAATCGACGTACCCGTGTCGTGCTGCTTGACTTGAGGACGATGAGGAGGAGGCGCCCGAGGCTGCCTGTCTGCCGCGTTGTGACGACGATGGTCCGCCTGGCATTTTGACCACACAAAAGGACTGGCCTCAGTGTGTGATGATCCCAAAATGGGTTCAATGCTGAGTTGAACTTGAACTTGCCAACCTTTCGCGCAGTTGTCGGATGATGGGATGACTCGCCGGCAAAATCGTCACAACCTCAATTGTTGAATCGACGAAAGAAGTCGCTTTCGCGGCACATTCGGATCGAACGGCACCTTGCTCATCTTTGGACAGTGACATCAAAATCCTTGGTATCTGAGACGCCATGATAATCCGCATACGCATTGAAGCAGAAGTGAGAAACGCAGTCAAATTTCGTCATTCTTTCAATCCGATTTTTTTTTTTTTCCTTCCTGCGCTCTGTCACAGCAGCACAAAACCAGCAACAACAGCTCCCACCATGAACGTTTCTCAAGCATCTCAAACGCTGATGCGCGCCTTTGGCTCTGCGACGCGCGCCTCGTTCCCCGTGTCGCGAGCGCAGCACGTCATCCAAAGCGCCGCAACGATTGGCCAGAACGCTCCCAAGGCCGCCGTCAACGCGCGCTTTGACATGCAGGCCCAGCGCCAGGCACAGCAGTACTGGGTCGACATGGCCAAGAACCAGAAGCTGACTTCGAATGCGCGGGTCTACGCAGACGTTCCTGCAAAGCCCTAAAAAACACTGACCGAAAGAGGGGCAGCAGGCTTTTCCCGGCTTTTCCCGGTTTTCGTCTTTCCTCTCTGTTCTCCTCCATCTCTGTCTCCATAACTCTGTCTCCATAACTGTCTCTGTCTTTCTCTCTCTCTCTCTCTCTCTCTCTCTGTCTCTGTCTCTGTCTCATTTGTTCGCTGTCCGAGCACGCTTTCTTCTCTCTATTCTTCCTATTTTTCCTCTTTTGTTTTCCCGCCATCTCTCTCGCTCTTCTTTTTCACTTCTTCACTTCTCTTCGTTTTTCTCCCCCTCCTCTGTGTCGCTTATTCCGCTCTCCCTCTTTCTTTGTGTTTGTGCTCAACGTCAAAGCAAAGCAAAACCCACAAAAAAAAAAAAAAAAAAAAGATCAAAAAGCCGGGTTTTTCTTGCTCTCGTGTGCGAATGTGTCGGCTTTGCAATCATGACGAACAGCTGTCAAGAACAAACTCTTCTCAACTGCTCAGAAGTTGCATGGTGTGTGTGTTCGCTGATGAAGCAACATCAAAACAATGAACAAGGCATTCCAAAAGTCGTCCGAATCCGCTGTGCTGTGCTGAATCCGCGTCAAGTTCCGTTCCGCTTTCGCTCGAATTTCGAAAACAACACAAAAGATTCTGAGATCAGCACTTTATCTTGTTCCTTTGAGCTGTTACGCATCGCAACATCACGCTCGGTGTGTCAATGACCAAGGCTCAACGACCCGATGCGTGCGCTCTGGACTCAAAAAAAAAAAAAGCCTATCTCGATCGATCCTGTCCTGGCTGCCCTTCGTCGTGCCATCCCCAGCTGGGATCAGCTTCATCTGTCTTCCCGTTCGAACGAGCTCTTACTTGTCTTTGGTTGGACCTCTGCTGCTGGCGGCAACAACCACCGTGTCTGAATGCCAAGGCCTCCGAAGTTGTGTGCGTTCGGATTTTGTGCGCCATGTCTTCTCTGTGTGACGCCTCCTTCATTCTGTGTGATGCCGACCTTTGTTTTGTGTGATGCTTTACTCGTTGAACTTTCTGAGCTTTCTTTTGTCCATGTTGTCGCTTTTGCACCGATTTTTGTAAATAATTCTCACGAACTCTCGCTTGTCCCCTCCTCTCCTATTCGTTCCTCCGAGACAACACACACAACTTGCGCTCGTTCCCAGGCCACTCTCGATCGCCTTCAACCAAGTAGATCTATTCCAACCCAAACCCGATTTCGGCTCATCCACTTTCCAATTCTCACTTTTGTGACCTTTACCCCCCTCCCCATCTTTCTGGGGTTTTTTATTAGTACTATTATTATTATTCCTCTTTTTTTTTTTCTTTTTTCTTTTTTACTCTTCCTCCTTCCCATCATGGCTGACGGCGCGACGGCAGTGTCTGAGCCAAGCAGCTCAAGCTCAGAGCCCGTACGCCAGTCCGTCCTCGGCATCATCCACCCGCCCCGAGTAAAGCGCCTTCCCCCGCTCCCACCGCCATTGCTTCCATTGCTCCCTATGCATTCGCTTTGTGATTCTTGTTGCTCTGTGGTGATGATCGTGGGCTGGAGGGTTTCCCTTGAACTTGGTCGTTTGTCGAGATCTCATCGTGTTTTTGCCTCTCTCCCCCCGCCTTGAGTGGGGCGCTCGACACGACCACCCTGCCCTGCAACCGTGCTCACTCTGTGCTTGCCTGAAACAGGAGCTGCGCAACGTCGTCGACAAGACAGCCGAGTTTGTCGCAAAGTCAGCCAGAACGGACTTTGAAAACCGCCTCCGCGAGCGCGAAGCCAACAACCCAAAGTTCCACTTCCTCGACAGCCAGAATCCGTACCACGGGTACTACCAGCACAAGGTCGCCGAGTTCAGGGCGATCGCAGCCGCGGCTGCAGCAGCTGCAGAGTCCGCATCGGCAGGTGAGCGTACAGAACGAACGTTCCATGATCGACCATTGCTATGTGGGGACCGGTCGCGTTCATCCAGACAGCCTGTGAAACTAACGAATGCATGTGGTGGTGTTTTGATCTTGGGTGGTGTGGTGCGGGGCGGGGCGGGGCGCACAGCAGGCGAATCGGACTCGACCACTGCGACTCCTTCAACAACCCAGGCTGAAACCGCTGCACCTGCGGCAACGGCTGTGCCCGTGCCAGAGCCCACTCAGGAGGGCCGCAAGAAGAACGTCCTGAAACAAAAGGCGGTCGTGATTGCCGATCCGCCGCCGGAACTCCGATTCATTGCCGACCCGCCCACTCTCAACGCCGAAGATGTGGACATTATGCGTCTCACTGCTCAGTTTGTGGCCAAGAACGGCCGTCAGTTCCTTACAGCGCTTTCCCGGCAGGAAGAGAACAATCGCCAGTTTGACTTTCTGAAGCAGTATCACACACACTATCCGTACTTTGCGCTGCTCATTGACCAGTACATGCAAATTTTGTTCACCTCCGAGCCTGCGGTGGCTGCCATCAAGAAAGACGCCAAGGATTCGCAGGGCATTCTTGAACGTGTGCATTACCGATCCGCCTGGAACCGCCAGCAAGTCCAGAACGAGAGCACGCAAGAAGGCCGAAGAAGCAGAGAAACGTACGTTCGCCTCTATTTTCGCCGAGCATTTGGCAGTGTATTGGAA